TGTTGTACTCCAGATTTCCGCAGCCCGATATATTTTTTTCTTGCCATTTGAGTCAAATAATGTGATGCGTTTGGTTTGTTAAATTTATGTGCCTAACAAGCGTGATCCTTTACTATTCAGCAAGTTTCTAATAAGCCACTACATCCTTACACAACATGCCACATTATCTTGCTCATGTATTTCTCTAAGGCTCGAGCAACAGCGATTTCAACGACAACCGGTTTTCTGGAAGCATGCCGATTCCATGACCTCCTTGACTGCTCTCACCTGCATGTGAGTGCTTCAACTGGAAGATGTCAAAAATATTCTGAGGAATCAGCTGAGACCTCAGTTCACATAGAAAACATCAGGCAGTGGAAAGAGTAGCATCGCCTGATCTCATTGACGTTGGGGAGAGGTTCATCAACATTAGTGGGAACTCAAATACGGTATACAAGGCAAGGGACACACATTCGCCCAAGAATGTTTTGGGGGACGAGGAGGGGGTTTGGTCGACCAACCACCAAGTGGTTGATGAGCACCATTGACTTAGCAAGGTTTGCCACATCATTCCACCACTCCACCTTCCACCATCGCACCCCAGGCTTTCTTCCCCCCACCCCCCGCCAGGAATCTGGACAACAACAAGTTTAACGGGGCCCTGGTGGTGCCGCCCACTGGCTCTTTCACTGCGCGCGGCAACTACCTCTCGGTCACCTCCAGCAAGGAGTGCGATGACAGCCACCTCGCCAACAAATGCTTCACGTACAACCGCACGTTCAACTGCCCCGACATCACCGAACACAACACCACCGAATGCGCCCCCTTCTGCGGGCTGTCGAGCAAAAGCCCACCGTGCAAGGGACTGGGTGCGTGTGTTCTTGTGGAGGCTAAGGAGACGCCCATGTGCGACTGCAAGGAGGGCTATACCAATGGCGAGTCTCCCTCATGGTACTACTGTGCTCATCCCATGGCGCACATGCCATGGCGTATCAATGCATGTTCTATCCACAGATAAAGCATTCATGCTGAATGAATGACAAATGCGAGCTACATCAAGATGTGCTACATGGCACATGAGCACACACTGTTAGAGAAAGCCTGCAGCTTCTTTAGTAATCGCACTCATATCCTGCTTTTGTGTAACCAACCGATTTTGAGATTTTGGCCATTGGGAATTCCCTCCTTTTTCCGACTCATCCCTTCCAACAAGCCCACCTTGTGATGTTCTTAAGGGCCTTGGGCCCTTTTGTTAAATCAACAACTCCTTCCTCCTTTTCCCCATTTTCATTGCCTCGAGCAAGAGGTCATCATGCTCACGCCCATCTCCTGCGTGCATCTCCCTTTTCCCCCCCTCCTCTCCCTTTCCCTCTCTGCAGCGCTCACCTACCCCCGTGTGACCTCTGTTTTGTAGTCCTGGGTGTCCCTCACCAAGCGCACCGCCGCCTCGTGCAGCGCCTACTTCTCCAATGCACCCCTCGCGCTCTTCTCCTTCGACACCGTGTGCGACCGCTGTGGTCGCGAGCTCTACTTCAAGGCCAGCTTTGCCTTCACCGTCACCCCTAAGAGCGGCGCACGCGGTGACGGCGGGTTGGCGTTCGTGGTGTAGGCAAGGAACAAGGGCGGCAGCAGCAGCAGCAGGGGGGTGGGGTACGCGGGGGTGGACCGGCGCAGCGTGGCCGTGCAGTTTGACATATGGATGGACAAGGAGGACCACGACCCCAGTGGCAGCCACGTGGCAGTGAACATGAAAGGCAGCCCTTACTCTAACGCCTCTATGACCAGCCCGGTGGCACTCAACAACGGCCGCATGCACCTGGCATGGGTGGAGTACACCCCCAAAGGCTCGGGTCTCCTGAAGGTGTTTCTCGCTGTGGCTTTAACCTCCCAGCCATCCACCCCTCTGCTGTTCGTGCCGCTGTCTCTCTGCGACGTGCTCCAGCCATCCCCGGCGTCCCCTTCCTTCTACTTTGGCTTTGTGGCGGCATCGCAGCGCTACCCACAGCCGCACATGGTGGCCATGAAAGGCATCAAAATAGGCAAGCAGCTGATGGTGGCCATGACAGACATCAAAACAGGCAAGCAGCACATGGTGGCCATGACAGACATCGAAACAGGCAAGCAGCTCATGGTGGCCATGACAGGCATCGAAACAGGCAAGCAGCACATGGTGGCCATGACAGGCATCGAAACAGGCAAGCAACTCATGGTCGCCATGACAGGCATCGAAACAGGCAAGCAGCACATGGTGGCCATGACAGACATCGAAACAGGAAAGAAGCACATGGTGGCCATGACAGGCATCAAAACAGGCAAGCAGCACATGGTGGCTATGACAGACATCGAAACAGGCAAGCAGCACATGGTGGCCATGACAGGCATCGAAACAGGCAAGCAGCTCATGGTGGCCATGACAACATCAAAACACGCAAGCAGCACATGGTGGCCATGACCGACATCGAAACAGGCAAGCAGCTCATGATGGCCATGACAGACATCGAAACAGGCAAGCAGCTCATGGTGGCCATGGCATGCATCGAAACAGGCAAGCAGCTCATGGTGGCCATGACAAGCATCGAAACAGGCAAGAAGCTCATGGTGGCCATGACAGACATCGAAACAGGCAAGCAGCACATGGTGGCCAAGCGTGTGCCACCTGTACTACACCACGCATGCCTGCCTGTTGCTAGGATTCTTACTTACATTGGCAAATGCGACGCTAGCAGCATCTGATTTTGGAGATCAATTGATTCTTAAACTCGCTGTCCTTTCCGCCAACTGAATGGCATCCCATAATTTCCCCTTCCTTTTGAATGTACGAATCATGATTGGCAGGATATGCTGCACCTCCCCAGCTTCCAGACGACAGAAGTGAGTTGTGTGATCTTCCCAGTCTTCCATTCCAATATGCACTATAGTGTCTTAGCCCAACACTACTCTGTCCCTCATGGACCAATCCCCTCCGCATTCTACTACTCAGACACAAGGACCGTGAAACAAGAACCTCTTTCCAATCCTTCGGTTTTAGCATGAGATGGTGGAATGGGCGAGACATGTCACCACATTCCAGGTTACCAGGAGGTTTCAGCCTTCCAAGCTCAACCATCCCTCCCTTGCTGCATCCCACCGTTGATGCTCCCCTCTTCTCACCCAACGGCCTCTCCCCATGCCTCCCCAGCGACGGGCCTGGTGGTGTCGGAGGTGAATCTCAACCCCGCGGTGACGAGCCCGTTCACGTGCTACGTGGGCGTGGGGTACAGCCGCGCGCAGGACGGGCAGGACGCGTGGAGCATCTGCAATTACTCCACGTGGAGCACTGTTGACCGGCTCTGGCAGGCGGACGACAAGGGCAGATGCGGTGAGACCTGTACCCTCACTAGCAGACACAGCTGACTTCTCACGGCCCATGATCGCTGTTGGTGTTCTTCTTGGACCCCTGGCATTTGCTCATCTGACTTACGTGACGAATGCTCCAATGTGTCACCTTGCCCTCTATGCTCATCGTGCGCCCCCTCTCGCCCCACTACCCAAAGAACTGGTGGGCGCATGCAGTGGTGGTTATGTTATATCATGCTAGGCTGCTTTACATACAGGTGTACCACTAAATGCTGGCTTACACATTTTGTGCCTAGGGTGTTGATCCAACCCACTTGTGGTTCCCTCCGAGCTCCAAGGCCACAATGTTGGGACCAGTTGTGATTGGTCCTACCCAGCATAGAGGTGGTATACTGTGTCACGGCATTACCTTTTCCCTCTTCTCTGAAAGAATCAAAATTTGGAGAGAAAGGAATGAATTAGGATGAGAGCCAAGAGGCTCCATAGTACAAGCAAGGAGCAAAGGAAAGGTTGGAATCGAAGCTACTCCCATTGGCTAAAATTGTAGCCAATGGAAGTGATTGGTTGGAGGGGAGGCAACCCCAAAGTGTGGTAGTTGCTGCTTGGTTGAGCCTTGGGACCTTCTGGTTGGAAAAAGCCAACCAAAAGACCAAGACCAAATCCAATCTTGACCAACCCAGATTGTGGTTTGTGAACCCAACCAACAACCCCCGAATAAGTGGCAACGAATTAAGCGTTGCTGAAATTGCTGAGGTGTTAACGCATTGCAAATGGTTGTGGTGGGATGTGAGTGCAACAAGCTATCAGCTGGGGTATGAATTCTTTGCAGCCACAAGCCTTTCCACTTCCCTGAAGTCGACTGGTGACTCTCACCGTAACTTCACCTAACCGGCATCATCATGCTATCTCAATGCCCTTTGCACTACTCCACATCCTTCGCCCGCAGCGCCTGCAGTCGTTCAAGTATCAGGACCCGGCGTGCTACACGGGCGACCTCAACCACGTGGTCCTCGTTACAGGCTACCTCATTGTGGGCTCTGACGACATCCGCCCGCGCATCTTCGCACCCTTCTGGATCGTGGCAACTCATGGGGGCAGCAGTGGGCAACAGCGGGTACATGCGCATGGGCATGGAGGGGGGGACGGCGTGTGTGGCATCAACGTGCCGCCCACCATCTACCCCATCAGCAAGTGTGAGTCGCCTTGGTGGGCAGTAATGCTGGGCTCTCAAACGTCATCCTATTCTGAGGTCTCCTGTAGAAATCCTATTGACTGGCCTTCTAGTCATGTCAGTTGAGTGCAGGCCAGGCACCACTCTTCTTTTCTCTTCGCCCCTGAGGGCTCTGTTTTGGCTCGTTGAGGTTTATTCCTCAACTGACCCCTCCCAGCCTAGTTCATGCTCAATTGGTTTCACATCTTCATGCTCAATTCTTCCCAGCAGACTCTTATGTTTTACACTGTCCAAAAGCGCCCTGCCTTACCCCCCTGGTGGTCCCTCTCCTCTGTCTGCTTCCCTGCAGCCGCCAGCCACCCGTGCATGGTGCGTGCGTACCGGTACCAGAGCGAGCCGTCGTCCGTGATAAACCCCTGCAGCACCTTCACGTGCTCCACCAGCGGCACCTCCAACACCTGCGCCTGCCGCCCGCCCTTTACGCAAGTCAAGAACCTCGATGGCTCGCAATCTTGCGCCTATGGTGAGGTGGCTGCTGTGACTGCCTGTGAGTGCGGTGATCTACATGCTGTGACTGCCTGTGAGTGTGGTGATCTACTGTATGTGCTGTGAGCGGGCTGCTTGCCTCTCCCACGTTTCATGAGCTCATTTAGGCTTAATGTCCTCCGCGGGTTTGTGTCTCACAGCAAATGTGTGCAGTGCAGTAAGCATTGCAACCGCCTGGTTCTTCTGTCCTCTTCCTCGTGGCTGCTTGACTGGTAGTGGATGTGTGCAGGGGCAGCATGAGCAACCCCTGTGAGGTGGGCTCCTGCATCAACGATGGGGCCGGCTCCTACTCCTGCGTCTGCCCGCCACCCCACGTGCCCGACACCACCATCGACGGCTTCCCCACGTGCTCCAGGGGTACACCCAGCGTCACCCGTCCAGAGTCACTGGTTGACCAAGTTTGATATTTGCCACCACGGTCACACTTTTGCCACCACGGTCACACTTTTGCCAGCGCCGTCACACTTTTGCCAGCACGGTCACACTTTTGCCGCAGCAACAAAGTTCATATCCCCCTCCCCCCCTCCTTCCCTTCAACCATCCTTCCAAACACCCCCTCCCAAACAGCGGTTTTCCCCTTTTCCTTCGTTTCCGTACCCTGCTCCATGTGTCCTCTCGTCCCCAACCTCGTCCTTGTCCTCCATCTGCCTATCGCCAGGGAAGGGCCTCGCCTCAGCGCTGGTTGTGGATGTCAGCAACTGGAGGTGTGCGCACGTGCATCCTCTCTTTGGGCTCACGCTCGATGACTTCACCACAATGAACACTGTGAGATTCCCCTCTCTCCCTGCATCCACCGGTTTTTCATATTGATATTTCCACACTCCGTGCTGCTTGTTGCTATCAAATGAGGCTTTCCTCATTCCTGCTGCCGTCGCTCCTGCTGCTGCCGCCACTGGTGCTGCCGCTGCCGCTGCCGCTGCTGTGGCACTGCTTGCAGGATGTTGACTGCTCGGCCAATCTTCCCCATGGCAAGGAGCTCAATGTGACGCAGTCTGCCAATGTCATGGCCTGCACCGCCTTCCACTACACCCTCCCCGCCAGTGCTACCACCCCTGCTCTCCCCTGATCTCCCCTGCTCTCACCTGCTCTCCCCTGCTCTCCCCTGCTCTCCCCTGATCTCCCCTGTTCTCCCTGCTCTCCCCTGATCTCCCTGCTCTCCCCTGATCTCCCCTGCTCTCACCTGCTCTCCCCTGCTCTCCCCTGCTCTCCCCTGATCTCCCCTGATCTCCCCTGCTCTCCCCTGATCTCCCCTGCTCTCCCCTGATCTCCCCTGCTCTCCCCTGCTCTCCCTGCTCTCCCCTGCTCTCCCTAATCTCCCCTGCTCTTCCCTGATCTCCCCTGATCTCCCCTGCTCTCCCCTGCTCTCCCCTGCTCTCCCCTGATATCCCCTGCTCTCACCTGCTCTCACCTGCTCTCCCCTGCTCTCCCCTGATCTCCCCTGCTCTCACCTGCTCTCACCTGCTCTCCCCTGATCTCCCCAGCTCTCGCCTGCTTTCCCCTGCTCTCCCCTGCTCTCCCCTGATTTCGCCTGCTCTCACCTGCTCTCCCCTGCTCTCCCCTGCTCTCCCCTGCTCTCACCTGCTCTCACCTGCTCTCACCTGCTCTCACCTGCTCTCCCCTGCTCTCCCCTGATCTCCCCTGCTCTCACCTGCTCTCACCTGCTCTCCCCAGATCTCCCCAGCTCTCGCCTGCTTTCCCTGCTCTCCCCTGCTCTCCCCTGATCTCCCCTGCTTTCACCTGCTCTCCCCTGCTCTCCCCTGCTCTCCCCTGCTCTCACCTGCTCTCACCTGCTCTCACCTGCTCTCACCTACTCTCCCCTGCTCTCCCCTGCTCTCCCTGCTCTCTTGCTTTCCCCTGCTTTTCTGATCTTGATATTTACATGCCTGCTTTTGTGACCACTACCGTACCATACACCCCTTCACTGCCAGTGCCCTCTCTCCCACATTTCACTCTTTCGCCCTGACAGCATAACTCACCCCTCCCACCCCCTCCTATCCACCTCCTCCATCCTTCCCCATACACCTCCCTCCCACCAGGCGGACACGTGTGCGTCAATCGCCATCTTCCTCGCCATCTCCTCTGACGCCCTGCTGGAGTTTAACCCGGGCCTCGCCTGCTCCGCCTCGCCCCTGCCCACGTCACGCTCGCTCTGTGGAGCGCAACCCGCGCGTGCTGGTCACGGTGCCCAGCTGCCTGATCAGCACGTTCATGGCGGGGTGGGACAGCTGTCGGCAGGCGGTGGCAGACTCCAAGGGCGTCATCTCCATGGTGGAGCTCTACCGCATGAGCCCCGGCCTCGCATGCGACGACGCCGTGCCCTCCCTGCCCGGCGCACCCACTGACAGCCTGGGCATGGAGGTGAGGGGGTGGGGTGGGGATGAGGGAGGGGAGTGGGTGAGAGGATGGAAGAGTGGGTGAGAGGTGTGGGAGAGTGGGTGAGAGGTTGAGAGAGAGAGAGAGAGAGAAAGAGAGGGAGAGAGAGAGAGAGACAGACAGACAGACAGAGAGAGAGAGAGAGCAAGAGAGAGAGCAAGAGAGAGAGAGAGAGAGAGAGAGAGAGAGTGAGAGAGAGAGAGAGAGAGGATGCCTAGCTTGTACCCGGATTGCCCATCAACGACGGACCGTTCAAGAGAGAGGACGAGAGTGTGGGTGAGAGGATAGGAGAGTGGGTGAAAGAGGGTGAGAGGATGAGAGAGTAGGAGATGGGATGGGAGTGGTGAAGGTGAGAGGAGGGGCACATGGCATGGATGTGGTAAGCCTGAGTGCTTTGGCCGGGGTGTCATTGGAGCCAACCCCCATTCCCATGTGCTACACTGAGCGTGCTTCAAAATGGAGTGTCCCACACGCGCTGTTACCCTACTGGATTTTCCCTCTTCCCTTGATGGCAGGTGTGTGTGCGAGCCGAGTATTTGGACTACTCGCGAGGGAGATGCAGAAATGGCGATCCCAAGTACTACAAAGCAGACACGGCGTGCATCATCATTCATGCCAAATAGTTCAATAACAGCCAGGCGGCGTTTCAGCGATAATACAATCCTTGCGCGGGCACCATTGGGGGACCTCAAAGAAACAGGTGCAATTTTGTATTCCCAAGAAGTAAATCCAGCTGTCCAAATGCACCTGCTTGTGGATGATCGTGCACCGGTGCACCAGCTTTGTCTCTGGTGTGGCTTGTGTTCCGCGGTGCCGTCACAAGTGTGCAGCACTGCACACCACCCTGTCAGCTCCACGCAGCGCGGGCAGGCATGGCCCGTGTCTAGTTTTGAGGCGCCTCAAAACTAGACTCCTATCATGCGGTTTTTATACAGAGAGGATTTTTGTTGCATGGAAAGCTGGGCGTAACATTCAAAAGTTACTTGTGCGCACGAGGCTCCCGAAGCTACCAGTTGGCGAACTGTGACATTTACACGACATCACCTCGAGGACTGAAGACTTGACCCCAGGAGTTTTCCAAGGTGTTCAGGATTGGCTGCCCAGATTTCAGCCTTGGTTGTTACATGCCTAGATTTTGGTACTGTCAAGGGTTTCTTGCTTAAGAGCCTCTCTTACTCACTTGCGTATTTCCATTCTGCACTGATGAAGATGTTCTATGGTCCTTACCTTAGACGTCGAAACATGTTTGCTTTAATCTTTTGAATCGGAACTGAGTTCAGTTTTCTGAGATCTCGGCTTCTATACGGGCAATCTTGTGTACTCTACTATCAATCTTTTTGCTAAAGGTTCGATTACACCGCTGCTCCCTTCTATCATGGCTAACAATACTGGGAGTATCCCATTGAAGAAGATGACGCCGGTGTAAACGACACGAGTTACGCGATGATTCTTCGCGGGGAAGGTCACTCCTCAAAAACTTATGCGGGTTACGGGCCCACAAGTGCCTCCACAAGAATGATGGAGCTTCGACCTCTGCAAATCCCTGCATCGACAATCAGCATGACAAGCAAACCGTGGATCCTCCCCCATGGCTACGAAAGAAGTCCCGAAGGCTACTACGACTGGCGGCAATCCGACGACCGTCTTCGACTTGTCCATCACCATTCCGGAGCCCTTTAACGCCTGGACAAGTGCGGCCGTCAAGGGTTTCCGGACGGATTTCAAGGCCCTCCTAAAAGCGAAGACTAAACTAAAGAAATGAAGACGCTTGACAGCCAAGGTGTGATCCTGCACAGCATCCGCACCAAGGCGATCGAGTTCCAGACCAAGTACCCGAGCACGCGGGAAAAGTCTGCCACGTCTGTTGCGATGGTTCATCAGGAGAACCAGAAGCACCTTCAGGAAGACTTCAACAAATCGAAGGAGTTGGAGGTTGAGGAGATACTGCTAGCTTCTGCTTCACACCTCACTGCTCTGGCAACCAAGCTCGAGGACTACGTGCGTGGAGAAGGCCAAGTCTGAGATCGCTGCCGCCAAAGATGAAACTGTCATCAAGGAGGTAGAGAGGCAGAGGCTCAAGGAGGCTGAAGATTTGAAGAAATCGGCCGCTGCTGAAGAACTGGAGAAGGTGGAAACGGATTCGACATTCGAGGAGCTGCTGGAGAAACGCGTGACGAAGCTCGAAGTCAAGATGCACAAGGAATTCAAGACGCAACTTGATACGAGTCTATCAGCGGCGTTTCAACGGGGTGTCTCAGTGGGACGACAGCAGGGTTCCGCGTCGACCACTGCGCATTCCAAGACAGCGGAGGACCAGTCGAAGAACCAGAAGAACAAGTCTTCTGGAGGCACGGCGGACGTACCTAAAGC